CCACCGGTACCCGTGGTTGTAGCGCAAAGCCTCCCCATTTGAGCCACTGCTTGAAGCCATAGCATCCTTGCATTGCAGAGAGCATCAGTGCACGAACCTCAGTTTCTTGCCTTCTTGGATTCCATCATGAACCCAGTTCTTCCAGGTGGGGACCCCATTATCGTATCTATTCTTCCTGACATAACCCCCCATAACAAAAGCTTCCACGTCTTGTCCCGAAGCACTTCGTGAGTCCTGCATCGTTGTAGATCAAGTTCCAGGACAACTGTACTTCCTTGGTCAAGCTGGAAGACTTCATAGTGTCCCGGGTCACCAGCGTAAAGGTGAACTATCCATCGTTTAGCGCCCCGCAACCTCCTCTGCTGAGCCCATGATAAGAACTCGATCTCTTTGAAAACTCTCCAGCCCGCTGTTAGCACATCATCCTGAACCAGACCATTCAAGCACCGCCCGGCAAGTCCTCAAGAAACGGTGCATCTCGAACAGCTCGTAGGCCAGCTTCCCGCGACCCTTTACTTACAAAGGTCTCCAGGTGATCCTGCCACGCCTTCTCCATGTAGGCCGCTGACATTGACACCCGGTCCATCGTTGTCAAAAAGCCATTCTCCAGCTCTTCTCGCTTCCGGTCCTCTAGGCTTGCGATGAATGCCAAGGCCTCAGCTTCTCGTAAATGCGGGCATCCTCCACTAACCTTGAGCTTGGTCCTCTTGCCGATTTCGTCCTCCACGAAGCACCCCTTGCCAGACCAGATCAGGGTGCATCCGCTCCGGACGTCCTTGGTCTGGTAGGTCAGCACCACTCTTAGGAGGCATCAGCAATGACCCACCATCACTCATTCACATAGCCATGGTGACATTGCCCGCAAGCTGGACTGTGACCTGCTCCGCAGCATTCCGTTCCTCTTGGCTCACAGCGCTCCGTAGACTGTGCGTTGCACTTGAATCCAGCAAAGCCGCGCTGTACCGGTTCGCACTGCGCAAACCCTGACATCGCGAATTGCCAAAAGTCGTGGCTCCGCCTTGGTCTTGTCAGGCGATGAGTCGCCCTCAGCGGTCACAGGCCGTCCTTGTGGTTGGACCGTATGGTCAGCTGCCTGGACTAACGCCTCCAAAGTCCATGGTGTTCCTTGCGCCGTTGAGTTGAGGTGGCTGTAGTCATTGGGTAGCGAAGATATGGATGGAGCTGCTGTAGCCATTGTTGACACAGTGCGGTAGAAGGTAACGTAGGTTGATCCTTGTAGGTGTCCTTGGCTCCTTTCCTCCCCCTGTAGGCGTAGACGACGTTTTAGGCTTGCCATTGGGTGTTTTATAGTCACTGGGCAATCACGCTGGCGGTGCGACTCCGAACCACACTTGAGGCATTTACGCGCACGTAGTTCACTGTCCAGTCCGGCCGATGAGTGTGAATATCCACATTTTTCGCCTCCTTTGCACCATCCAGCCTTCATGAAGACACATCCGCGGCTTGAGCGCCTTGGGGTGGCATAACCTGTTGACGGACTCTGCTGTCACCGTCATCTAGCTGCTCGCTAGACATGTCTGCCATGGCGTGCCACCATCGAACAGGCCCTTCCTTTTTCCTTATCTCGCCACAACAGTACGATTGGTAAAGAACTGCAAAGTCCATCAAGACGGACGGACTTGTACAAAGGTGTCTTAGCTGTTGCATCTGCTTTATGGAAGTACATTGCTCATCTTTACATAGCAAATGTAAGCTTCGCATGACTCAAAGCTTTTTACTCCGTAGCCTTCCCTTGATGCGAGCGCCGGGCCGGAAAGGCATCATCAAAGCTGTTCTTTCTCAGGTTTAGGGTTTGTGGGTGCGGGAGCTGCACGTAATCCGGTGCAATATCGTTTCCTCATGGAACTCCCACTGGAAATTTCCGTATAGGTGGTCTCGTACGGAGATGCTTGCTTTTGTGGTAGATTGCAAGGATGTTGACGGAAATTAGTCAACTTCTGTACCCAGAGCTGTGCAATTGTTTGCCATGGCATGCCCATGGACTTGTTATAAACTGCTTAAAGGGAAGTTTTGTAGGGGATTACGTAGGGGAGTATTATTCATTGTATCATACAAGTTATTAAACGGGATGCTGAGCGTTTAGACTGCAGCTCCCGTATCCTTTGTTTAGCACAGCCGGCTGCAGAGGGTCGGCCGTCTGGTTGTTTTGTACCATTGTTGCACCCAGCCCCGATACAAAGCTTCAAAGACCCCTTGTAACTTCACCTCGAATATGACTTCCCTGAAGCCCAAGTTCACATGTGAACACAGATGTTTGCACACCCTAAACCCCAAACCCTGAAGCCCTAAAACCTACGGTGACGCTTTTGGAATATGTGGAGGGCGGCCCAGGCCCAAAGATGACAAAGGTAGTGTAAATGACCTGTTTAAATCCGGAAGTTTAAATATCTACTGCCCTCCTTCACTCCAAGCCCTCCAGCCTTTAAGCCCTGCAGCTTTCCAGCCCTCCAGCCTTCCAGCCCTCCAGCCCTCCCGCCCTGCAGCCTTCCAACCCTCCAGCCAGCCCTCCAGCCCTCCTCCAACCCTCTCGGCCTTCCAGCCTTCCAGTCGCTAGCCGCTCCAGCTTTCCAGCGCTCCAGCTCTGCTGCAAGGCTAGAGCACCGGAAGTTTGGGGGGCGTGAAGGCTGGAAGGTTGGAGGCTGGAACTGGAAGTCTCGGAAAGAATGAAAGCTTGAAGGCTGGATGGCGGGAATGTTGGAGGGGCCGGAAGCCTGGAAGGCTGGAGGGCTAGAAGGCTGGGGGGCTGGAAGGTGGGAAGGCTGGAGAAGGCTGCAAGGCTGGAGGGCTTGAAGGCTGAAGGGCGAAGGATGGAAGGCAGGTGGCGGGGGAAGGAAGCAAAACTTCCGGATGTTTTTAAATTGGGCGGCCCAAAGCCACTGCTGTTAGACCTAGTGCAAATGATTTGTTTAAGCTCTTTAAATGTCTGGGTGTTTAAAAATAGGCGCCGTAAGTCCTACGCCCTGACATAAACCCCAAAACCTGGCCACCATGCGTATCTTGAGGGTTCTGAGTCGACGGGTAAAGTTTAGGGAATAGGGCTTCGGGTTTAGGGGTTATGAGTTTACAGGAGGAGATGCTGTTCGGATTATGAACAACCCGGGAGTCCCTGTTGGAATTGTGCACTTCTAGATGGATATTTCCCAAAACGGTGATCCCCCAAGCATGCCCCATATCTATATATATATATACACAAATACAAATGCAAATGCAAATACAAATACAAATACAAATA